CAGTTACAGTGTTTAGCAGCTCGGTTAGCGTTGCCGACTCATTACTGGACACATCCCGGTGCTCAATCATGTTTTGTTCCCGTTTAGCGTCGTTATACACTACATGAAGTTCCCGTTCCTGATCAGCAGCCACTTTCCCTATGTTCGTCCATTATTTTAGGGTGACCAGGCTTATCATTATTATTATTATTATATCTGGTCAATTTTGTCTATTATAATTTTAAGTTATGAAAATAAAAAATAATTACTCTATAATGTTTAGTATAAATGTTTGGGTAAATATGTTTAGTATAAATGTTTGGGTAAATATGTTTAGTATAAATGTTTGGGTAAATATGTTTAGTATAAATGTTTGGGTAAATATGTTTAGTATAAATGTTAATCAAAATAATAGTTGAAACTAAAGTTCAAATAATGGTTAGTCTTGAAGTGAGGGTTGACTATCATGAGTGACTGCACTGCCATCTGGTGTTGGATCAGCTCTTTGGTCACATTTTAATTATTTATAAATTATGACAAATAATATTTATAATAATAATAATAACATACCTGTATTCTTGGAATAGCTATCAATCTTAGGGTAAATGTAGTAGGTGAATTATATTAAAATTATTTTAATAATTGTTATACCGATCACATCAATTTGAAAATTTTACACTATATAATTAGGATGTTATAAAATAAATTTAAAAATCAATTACAAATCAATTAAATTGATAAAGTATGATAGATATTAATAATAATCGGAAAATAGTTTTAAATATTTATTGTTAGATGTTAAATATATTATTTAGACATAATCTTTCAAACAAAACTACTCGCCCTCCCCGTCCACTTCCATAGTGTTATAGTGTCTGAGATGTGCCTCTTTAGCCATTTGTATCAAATGGTTGCACATCTCGCGACCGGTCTTACGGCACATGTCATAGAAATATGCCTTTCGTTGCAGTAAAACATACGGCGCGTCAAACTCCATGATCTCACCCGCGTCCAGCACCTAACCCATAATGAACCAGATCGTATAGTATGAAATAAATAAATAGTTTTATTAAATTTTTAAATATAAAATAATAATCATGAATAACATACCAAAACGCGGTCGCAATCGATAATCGTGTTAAGTCTGTGTGCGATCGTAAGTACCGTACAGTTTGCGAACTTATGTCTTATGGTCTGTTGAATGAGTGCATCGGTATGTAAGTCCACATTAGCCGTTGCCTCATCGAGCACCAGTATCTTATTATCCCTTAAAATCGCCCTGGCCAAACATATCAATTGTCTCTGTCCTACACTCAAATTACCCCCACCTTCACTTAGCTCACCTTCCAACTGGCCGGGTAGTTCATTGACTACCTGTAGTAATTGAGTATTTTCCAAAGCCTTCCAAATATTACTATCACTATACTCGCCAAATGGATCTAGGTTACGACGTACCGTTCCCGTGAAAACTACCGATTCTTGCGGTATAATCGAAATACGTCGACGTAATTCGTTAAGACCTATACTTTTCGTATCGATCCCATCCACCTCTACCACACCTGTAGGTTCAGTCATACGAAACAGGGCTGATATGAGTGACGATTTTCCGGCACCGGTACGTCCCACTATACCTACTTTTTCACCAGAGTTAATTGTGCATGATATGTTTTTAAGTACTGGATAATCCGACATTTCATAATATAGCGACACGTTTTTAAAGGATATCTGTCCCATCGATGGCCAGTTGGATGGGGGTGCCTGAAGGTAGGGGTCGTTTGGCGGTGAGACTAGTGGCGCCTCCTGTGGTAGTCTCGAGTACTCAACGATACGCTCGACGGAAGTCATTTGGGACTCGAGTTCTGTAGACTGTCGGACACCCCATTGGGTTGTATTTATTAGCAACAATACTATCATGATAAAAAAATTAGTTTATTTTTTTGGTATTTTTAATTGTTCTTCATATTCATTATTTCAGTTGACAGAAAACAGTTTGAATGTGAAGTTTATAGGTTTAAAGCGAAAAAAGATTGATTATGAGTATAGATATCAAGCTTTAAACCTATATATCTATACTTCACATTCAAACTGTTTTCTGGCTATTGATATATTGACAAATCATCACGTTCTGGGCAAACCTATATATTTGGAAATCCTATTTCAAATTAGATAATATGTTACTAACGAAATATATCTTATTTACCTTGCTAAACACTTCAAATATACTATTAATTTACTAAATATATGAATTATTTTTTAAATTTAATATTATATGCAAGATAAAATAAATATAAATGAATTAACATACTTGATGAAAAAATTAAACCAACGTCACCACCGGTAAAATTATCAGGGAAAGCCATTAATATAACCGATATCACCACGAGATACCCAACAAATAGCCAGTCAATTACCATTCCTAATGCGCGCGTGGCACAAATTAGTAAGAACCATGTAGCACTGTGGTCATCCAAGTAAATAAAAAATTGTTTTTCCAAATCACGTTGAGCATGGTAAGCTCGTACACTTATCAAACCATTCATGGTAGTGCTGACGTGCGTGTATATCGGACTCCTGGCTAATATAATAATAATACAAATTAATATTTACTGGTGAATTTTAATTTTTAAACATTCAACTTATGCATTCGTAACGTTTAATGTCCCTGGCGGTATTAATGTAGACTGCGCGAACGAATACGCTTAATGTAATCAAGGCAATTGCCGGTATGATTAAGTAAACGTTCACAATCGAAACCACCACGAGCATGCCGAGTGTTAATGTAATAACCTAAGTTAAATATTAAATTAGCAAGACTCAAAGTTTGGTATGAATTACATTGAATCATACAATATTCACATCGAACCCAGTACAAGGTATTGTTTCATCGATAATACCAGTGTCCTTTGAGAATCGATTCAGTATTTGACCTAGATATAATTTATTTAACGTTATACAAGTAAAATCTATCAAAATAAATTTCAAGTTTATATTGAATACGACTAAAGATTTTAAAATAAATATTTGTCTTGGTCATTCCGCTTAAAAGCACTGATATAACATACCAATGGGATAACTATCAAACACGGTCATAGGTGCCCTTAATAGCCAATTAAAAATATTGTTGTGTAGGTTAATGGACGCCCGCATACTCATCGCGAACCATGCGGTCGACCGCATTAGTGTCGTCACAAATAGCCCCCCAATAAGTATCGCGTATATTATTATATCCCGTTTCTGGTAACTATCCCCAGCATTATAACCGACATTCTGATTCTGGTCAGTCCTATATGTTTAATATAATAATATACAATAATTAATATGAATATTATGATATGATGATAATTATGAAATTATAATATTATGAAAATTAAAATATGATATAAATAAAAATTTAGAAAATCTTCATTAGATATGTATTACCATACACAACTTATGACTACTCAAATATATTGTACATCACCATTATAATTATTTTCATTTATATGTAGATAAGTTACTACTAAAGGGTTAAAGCTTATTAATAAAGATTTATACATTATATTTGAATAGTTTTAAGTTGCTTATGCTAGAAAGTGTTTAATAAAAATTTTCTAGATGTTTTATTTATATTATTCATGGTGATATAATATAATTTTATCCATTGAAACATACCAGTGTGCCAACCATAAGTCCGAACCATTGAACATAGCTTGCGATAAAATCGTTGACAAAATGGTCATGGTTATAAGTAGTGACCCGGCACCGGCTTTAATATACTCCCAATACACGTGACCTTTTATCGAGCCACTTTCCCTGTGTTCGTCCATTATTTTAGGGTGACCAGGCTTATTATTAATATTATTATTATATCTGGTCAATTTTGTCTATTATAATTTTAAGTTATGAAAATAAAAAATAATTACTCTATAATATAAAGCTTACATACAGTTACATTTTTTATCATTTCGGTTAGCGTTGCCGACTCATTACTGGACACATCCCGGTGCTCAACCATGTTTTGTTCCCGTTTAGCGTCGTTATACACTACATGAAGTTCCCGTTCCTGATCAGCTAGTGTTTGATTAAAATCCAAACCTTGCGCCTGGAGCTCCTCATAAGTACCCAACCCTATGCACACGCCCTCATCGAGCACCAGTATCTGTGTGGCTTTGCGTACGAATTGAATTTGATGCGTAACTAATATGCGAATTTTATTAGCTAGGAACTTTTCGATGCATCTATTTAAAAGATGATTATTTAGTTTTAAATAAAATAGTGCATTTAACATTTAACAAAACTAACTTATCAAATATATGCTGAGCTACAGGGGCGTCCACAGCGCTTAAGGGATCGTCCATTAGTATTATATCAGAGTCCTTATATAGAGCTCTATGAAAATATATTTATTTAAATATTGGTATAATTTTATATCAACACAAACCTTGCCAAATTGACCCTGGTCTTTTGACCCCCTGATAATTGTACGCCGTTCTCTCCAACCAGTGTTTTATCACCGAATGGTAGTATCTGTAGATCCCTTTCCAATGCGCACACCTCTATCACACGCTTATATCGATCTTCATTATATTCGCGGCCAAACAGTATGTTATTTCGGACACTATTATTGAATATCCAGGACTCTTGTGATGAATAGCTAACGGTGCCATTAATCTGTATGTCACCATCAAGCACAGGTAGCTCGCCGAGTAATGACATTAAAAATGAGCTCTACAAATTAAAATAAAATATTTTTAAAAAATAATTTTAACTTTAAGTGCTTTACTACAATATTTATAAATAACGTAAATTAAAAATAATACTTTTCCTGAACCCACAGATCCTATTACAGCCAAGAGGTCCCCAGGCTTTAAGTGTACCGTAATATTGTCCAGGGTCAGATTAGGAATGTCCTTATAAGTTGAAATTTACTTAATATTTCATATATTGCTCGCTCATTACATACATGAATCCATTTGGCGCTAATACTATTAACCGATACCGAGCTATAGTCAAAATAATTGTCACTCGATTGGCCACCGTGTATTTCATCTAGTTGCAAAAATGTCTAGAAAATAATTTAATTAGAGTTAGTTAAATGTGTATTGGTAAATTGAATCAGTAATATTCACCTGGATCCTTTTGCACGTTATCAGTGCCTCAGCGCCACGTTCAAAACACTTTGGCAAGTGGTACGTTAAACTAGCGCGCAAGGTGTTCAAATATGTCACTGTAATAAAAACGGCCCTAGCTGACAAAATGTGCCCGGTCATTACGTACGCAATTAGACACGCGAACAGTATCATACGATTTGCCACAAAGTAGATTGATAAGTTTATTGCGTTCAAGAATAGGGCCATTCGTATAGACGATATTTCATTTCTATGAAATATGTTGACGTAATTTATTAAATAAATCACAAAATTTAGCTAGTTACTTTCTAGATTGGGCGACTAAATCGGCAAATGATTGCTCCCAGGCATACATCTTGATTACTCTCATACCGGATATTATCTCATTAATATATCTCAGCCGGATATCAGTCAACCCAGCGGTCCTTGACCTTAACATTCATAAATAATGTTATTATTATTATTATTATTATTATTTTGAATCACTATTATTATTAAATTTGAAAATATAAGTTTTAATTAATTTTACCTCACTTTAGAAAACAACTTCCCCATTGACATTTGAATGAATATGAGCAAGATCATCATTGCCAAGGCCACAAAACTTACCCAACCCAATTCTAACCAGATTATATACAAGGCAAGTAACGTTTGCACTGGCGTTACGAATAAGTTTGGTAAATAAATCGTCAACTAAAATATTTAAAAAAAATTCATATATAGTATAATTTTAAATATTTAATATATAATTTTAAATTAAAAATTACCAACCTCGTCGAAACGATTAACATCGTTTGACATAAGATTTACCATATGGCCTACCGTTGTTTGGCACAGGGCGATCCGGCTTAGTTTTAGCGACTTATTAGGGTAATTAAAATTACTAGTTTCAAAATGTTATATTTTTTAAAACTTACTTTTTTGTATATTAAGGCGCAGGTGGCGCTACGGGCGCGCATAGCAATCTGTATGAGGCCCACCATATGGACGTGAACTAATATTATTAAAAGGACCGAGCACATGCACACACCGGCAGTAGACCAACAGGCCTGGCTATAAGTTACGCCGTTTTCGCGGATAAAGTAGTCTATGGTATAACCCAATAGTACCGGTTGCGCGACACGTAGTACGCAATCCTAACAATATATAATAATTATTGTAATTTAAAATGGAAATTAACATAGCTATTTCACAGTTATAATTTATATAATGTATACTTGCTTGAACAAAGCAAGAAATAATCTGGATGATATAATCATTTCCATATGTCCTGAATAATGTGCGCCAAAATTTTGGTGACTTTTTCGATTGCTCCTTGGTCCAATTCCTGAGATATGAATATGTTAAATGTTTAATGCAAAATTTATATATCATTTAAAAAATATATTTTATGTAATTGAATTATTGTCATAAATGCTATCATATGGTTTGATAATACTTTTAAATTATGAGTTATAATTTATAACCATTAATAATAATAATAATTTATATATTATTATACATTTCTAGTTTCCTAACGGCGCCTTCCGACTCATCATGTCGTGAGCACCGGTACATGTCATCCATAGTCAGTCGAGTATTGTGCCACACAGTCCAGAATATTGGAAACACCCAGCTAGTATTAAAAGCATTAAGATTTTTAATCTAAAAATATGGTATAATTCATAACAACATGATAATGTTATAGTCAAATATGTTGATTAAATAATAATTTGTTATGAATTAAACTATCTACTAACGTAATTATAAGCTTCTCAAGAAAGTTCATCTTGTCCCATTGTGATTTAGCAGTAACCTTAGCAGGTTCATCCATGATTACAATTATAAATAGTAATAAAGTTTATAAAACTAAAATTACCCCATGAATTGACTATTTAATAAAATATAAAATAATATAAAATATAATATAGCATATATTGTCAATTAAATAAATCTTTATAAATTAATAAAAATATATAATTATATTGAAAGGGTTTTAAAAAGCAATTCACTTGAAAATGTTAATTCTCTGAACAACCTCTAAATAAATCTGTATTAGAGGCATGTGTTAATATATGAATATAAATAATATTCATTAAATAAGGCAAGTATGACAAGTATAGCATAAAACCAACTCATTGTAATTCGAACTCAAACCTTGAAACTTGGGAACGCTTTCAATATCCATTATTTATTATACAAATCAATTAGTATATTTTATTCAATATTGATATAATAATTTATAATTCATGTATTGATTAAAAATATTTACACATTGTATGTAACATGTAATATACAGTAGACAATAGTATGTTGAATTAAATTTTGAATTTTATGTGATACATAAAATCTATGACAATTAAATATTATAAAGGTTCAGGAAATAATATATTCACTAGTCGTCCTCCCCGTCCACTTCCATAGTGTTATAGCGTCTGAGATGTGCCTCTTTAGCCATTTGTATCAAATGGTTGCACATTTCGCGACCAGTCTTACGGCACATGTCATAGAAATATGCCTTTCGTTGCAACAAAGCGAACGGCGCGTCAAACTCCATGATCTCACCCGCGTCCAGCACCTGATTAATAATCAACAATTTAATAATGTTATATATTATTATAGTAATAAAAAATAAAAATATTATTCATAAATAAGGTACCAAAACGCGGTCGCAATCGATAATCGTGTTGAGCCGGTGTGCGATCGTAAGTACCGTACAGTTTGCGAACTTATGTCTTATGGTCTGTTGTATGAGTGCATCGGTATGTAAGTCCACATTAGCCGTAGCCTCATCGAGCACCAGTATCTTATTATCTCTTAAAATTGCCCTGGCCAAACACACTAATTGTCTCTGGCCTACACTCAAATTACCCCCACCTTCACTAAGCTCCCCGTCCAATTGGCCGGGTAGCTCATTCACGGTATGCCTTAACTGTGTCTCATCCAAGGCCTCCCAAATCTGACTGTCCGTAAACTCGGCAAACGGGTCGAGATTACGACGTACGGTTCCCGTGAAAACTACCGGTTCCTGCGGTATAATTGATATTCGCCGACGTAATTCATGTAAACCAATAGTTTTTGTGTCGACTCCATCCACCTCTACCACACCTGTAGGTTCCGACATACGAAACAAGGCTGATATGATCGACGACTTTCCGGCACCTGTACGTCCGACAATACCGACTTTTTCACCAGGCTTAATTGTGCAAAGTAAATTTTTAAGCACCGGCTTATCTGAGCCCTCGTAACAAAGAGACATGTTTTTGAAAGCTATCTGTCCATTTGACGGCCAATCAGGTGGTGGCGTTTGAAGGTAGGGGTCATTTACGGGTGAGACTAGTGGCGCCTCCTGTGGTAGTCTCGAGTACTCAATGATACGCTCGACTGAAGTCATTTGAGACTCAAATTCCGTTGACTGTCGGACACCCCATTGGGTCGTATTTATTAACATAAGCACTGTTTTTATGGTCAGGAAATAAGGTAAAAAAATTAATTTTAAATTAAAATTATAATTCGCCCAGCACCATTACCTGATGATAGTGCAAGGCCCACCCCACCTCCCGACACTGTATCGGGGAATGCCATTAATACCGTCGAAATGGCTACGATATATACGATGCACAGGTAGTCAGTCACAAGTCCCAAGGCCCTCGACGAACACACAAATAGGAACCAGGTGGCACTGTGGTCATCCTGGTATACGTAGAATTGTTTTTCAAAAGCCTTTTGAGCACCATAAGCGCGCACACTAGCCAGACCATTTAGGGTGGTGCTAACATGAGAGTATACTGGACTACGTGCTATTGTTAATGAGCAATTTATTTTAATTTGATATTTATACTAGGGTATTGTGCAAGCTTACTTAAACCCTCGTATCGTTTGATATCCCTGGCCGTTTTAATATACACGGTCCGTATGAGTATAGTGAATATAATTAAAAATATTGCCGGAATTATTAGGTATGGGTTCACCATGGATACCACAATAAATGTTCCTAGTAGCAAGGTCATACTCTATATTAAAGCAGAATTTTTAGATAATTATTAGCTCACAAATAATTAAATGCATAAATATTACCATGTTTAAATCAAACCCAGTAGTGGGCAACATTTCATCGATTATACCAGTGTCCTTTGAAAATCGATTCAGTATTCGACCTTTAAAATTTAAAAACTGATTAATTCGTGCCTAGATAATCTAGCTAAAATTTTTAACTAGTCAAATACCATTTTAATAAAAATACTTACCAACAGGGTTATTGTCAAACACGGCTATAGGCGCCCGTAATAGTCGCATGAATATACTGTTGTGTAGGTTAATGGACGCCCGCATACACATCGCGAACCACGTAGTCGTCCGCATGAGTGCCGTCACAAATAACGCCCCAATAAGTGCCGCGTATATAATAATACCCCGACTCTGGTCGCTATCGCTTATATCATGGCCTTCCTTCTGGTTGAGGTCAGTCCTATATATATATGGACAGGTAGGCTATATATATGATAAAATTTGTAATATCTAATATTGTAATACCAATCCGTTAGCCATAAGTCCGACGCATGAAATATACCCTGAGACACTAGTGTCGATAATATTGTTAGGGTAAACAGTATGGGTCCGGCACCTGCCTTAATGTACTCCCAGTAGATTTTACCATCAATGGCACCCACCTCTCGCTGTTCGTCCTGTATTTTAGGGTCACCCGTGTAATCATCATCGATCACCTCGGTCTAATATATTGCATATTAATATTATAGTATTTTAAAAATTAGTAAGCTGATTATCAGTGTCATTTTATAATTTACATACATTTACCACTTCCATCTCGGAAAGGGCTACCGATGCCCTCCGGGATTGATTCCTAGGCCTCAATAAATTGGGTTCCGGTTTATGGCCGCTACTGACCGACAGAGTGCGCTGAAGTTCCCGACTGTGTTCGGCCGCCTCCCGTTCCTGTTCGCTGAGTATTTGCATAAAGTCTAGACCCTGGGCCTGGAGCTGGTCATAGGTGCCCACCCCTAGACACCGGCCCTCATTGAGCACCAGTATTTGCGTGGCTTTACGTACGAATTGGATTTGATGGGTGACTAATATTCGTATTTTGTCCGATAAGTACTCGTCTATACACCTGATAATTAGGGTTAATATATTAATTTATGTGGTATATCATTATTAAAATACCAGGATCAGTGTCGTACTTATCAAATATATGCTCGGCTACGGCGGTGTCCACAGCGCTTAACGGGTCGTCCATTAGTACGATATCTGTGTCCCTGTAAAGAGCTCTACACAAAAAGTAGAATTAAAATAAAACCTTGAAAATTTTAACATTCACTTACCTTGCTAAATTGATCCTGGCCTTTTGACCACCCGATAGTTGAACCCCTTTCTCGCCGACCAATGTTTTGTCACCAAATGGTAGTATTTTTAGATCCCTTTCCAGGGCGCACACCTCTACCACACGATTATATCTGCGCTCATCGTATTCACTGCCAAACAGTATGTTATTTCGGACGCTATTATTGAAATTCCACGGCTCTTGCGACGCATAGCTAACGGTGCCCGTGATCTGTATGTCTCCTTTGAGCACCGGTAGCTCGCGTAGTAATGACATTAGGAATGAACTCTAAATTAAATAAAATTTTTGTAAATAGTTTTTAAAAATTTAAATATAGTATTCATACCTTTCCAGAGCCTACCGGCCCTATAACTGCTAACAGATCACCCGGTCTTAAATGTACGGATATGTTATCAAGGGTCGGGTATGGGATGTCCTAAAATAATTAGCTATTTATTATAATGTTTAGCTAATTAAACATATTATGAATACCTTGCTCCATTTGGCGCTAATATTATTAACCGATACCTCAATAAACGGTTTATTAATAATGGGATTTAATTTTAATTCATTTTTATTAATCGATTGCTTTGTATCTGAATTTATTTCTTCTAACTGTAAAAATGTCTAAAAAATCAAAAATAATTTTAAACATGGTACAATCACAATAATAAAATTAACTTATGTTACCTGTATCCTTTTACACGATACAAACACCTCAGCCCCAAGTTCAATACACCTAGGCACCTGGTACGTTACACTATGTCGTAATGTATTAAAGAATGTCATGGTAACAAAAACCGCTTTTGCCGTTAAAGTGTTCCCGGTCATTACGTATATGATAAAACATACAAATAATATGATGCGAGTGGCAACGAAATAAATGGACAAGTTAATTGCTTTCAGTAGCGCTGCCCACCGTATACGGGACACCTCTTTCCTAAATAGTAATGACGTTATTTATTAAACTAATATTTTAAAAATAAAAGTGATCCTGATTACTTTCTAGCCTTTGCAACTAAATCGGCAAACGATTGCTCCCATGAATACATTTTGATGACACGCATACCAGCTATGATTTCATTCATGTGTCTCAGCCGGGTATCTGTCAACTCAGCGGTTTTTGACCTAAGTATCCATAAATAATGACAATATAATAAAATTAATTAATTAAATATTTATTTACGTTAAATTTTTTAGATTACTTTACCTGACTTTTGAAATGGCGCTAATATTATTAACCGATACCTCAATAAACGGTTTATTAATAATGGGATTTAATTTTAATTCATTTTTATTAATCGATTGCTTTGTATCTGAATTTATTTCTTCTAACTGTAAAAATGTCTACAAAATCAAAAATAATTTTATACAAGGTACAATTGCAATAATAATATTAACGTATGTTACCTGTATCCTTTTACACGATACAAACACCTCAGCCCCAAGTTCAATACACCTAGGCACCTGGTATGTTACACTATGTCGCAATGTATTAAAGAATGTCATGGTAACAAAAACCGCTTTTGCCGTTAAAGTGTTCCCGGTCATTACGTATATAATAAAACATACAAATAGTATAATACGAGTGGCTACGAAATAAATGGACAAGTTAATTGCTTTCAGTAGCGCTGCCCACCGTATACGGGACACCTCTTTCCTAAATAGTAATGACGTTATTTATTAAACTAATATTTTAAAAATTAAAGTGGTCTTGATTACTTTCTAGCCCTTGCAACTAAATCGGCAAACGATTGCTCCCATGAATACATTTTGATTACACGCATACCGGCTATGATTTCATTCATGTGTCTTAGCCGGGTATCTGTCAACTCAGCGGTTTTTGACCTAAGTATCCATAAATAATGACAATATAATAAAATTAATTAATTAAATATTTATTTACGTTAAATTTTTTAGATTACTTTACCTGACTTTTGAAAACAATTTGCCCATAAACGCTTGGAAAAATANAGCCGGGTATCTGTCAACTCAGCGGTTTTTGACCTAAGTATCCATAAATAATGACAATATAATAAAATTAATTAATTAAATATTTATTTACGTTAAATTTTTTAGATTACTTTACCTGACTTTTGAAAACAATTTGCCCATAAACGCTTGGAAAAATATAAACACGGCCATCATGCCCAGTCCCACAAAACATACCCAGCCCAACTCCAAGTATATTATATATACTGCAAGCCCAGTTTGCAGCGGGGTCGAGAAAAAGTAGCTTAAATACAGTGTAAACTAAAAATAACAATAGTTNCGGCCATCATGCCCAGTCCCACAAAACATACCCAGCCCAACTCCAAGTATATTATATATACTGCAAGCCCAGTTTGCAGCGGGGTCGAGAAAAAGTAGCTTAAATACAGTGTAAACTAAAAATAACACTAGTTTATATGTCTGTAAAATTATTAATCTACTAGTTTAAAATTTTAAGATATTAATATACCTCATCGAAACGGTTAACATCGTTGGACATAAGGTTTACAATTTGTCCCACAGTTGTCTTACCCAGTGAGGCCCTGCTCAGTTTTAGTGCCTATGTAGGGAATGATATAAATAATTATACTTTCAGGAAATAACAATTATCAAGCTTACCTTTTTGTACATTAGCGTACAGCTGGCGCTACGTGCGCGCATACCTATCTGCATGACGGCCACCAGGTGGGGGTGAAATAGCTGTATAAATATGGCTGAGCACAGGCACACCCCCGCGGCCGACCAACAGGCCCAGTAGAAAGTGACACCGTTTTGACCGCTAAAATAATCAATGACAAATCCCAACAGCACCGGCTGAGCCACTCGTAGCACACACTCCTAACAATATTTTATTTAAAAATTTATTTTTATGTTAAATGTGCTTACTTCAAAAAATGCGGCACAAAATGGTGCGATATAATATTTGCCATAAGTCCAGAATAATGCTTTCCAAAACTTGGGAGATTTTTTAGCTTGCTCATAGCTCCAGTTGCTGGGTGATTTTAAAAATATAATTTATTGAATTTAATAATTATTTTATCATGCCTATTTATCGTACTTTTCAAGTTTCTTAACTATCCTTTGCGACTCGTCATGCCGTGAGCACCGGTACATGTCGTTCATGTCTAACCGGTTATTATGCCACCCGGTCCAAAATATTGGGTATACCCAGCTTAATTGTAAGGTTATTTATTAATGAGTTAATTTATTTTTAGTATTTAACAATATCATACCTTATTAATACTTTTTGGAAAAAGTTCATTTTGTCCCATGGCGATTTGCCAGTAATTTTAGCCTGCTCGTCCATTACAATATTTATTTATATTAAAATTGGATTTTTACAATATTATAGGATTTGTAAAATAAAAATACATTTATATAATTTGAGTAATAACATAGACATTTGTAAGTTATGAAAATCTTTTAACATTTTATTGTAATATAATTAAAAGTTTATCCTTTTATATACCGTTATGTCTCATGCGAAACCACGTGCTATAATAAAATAATAAACTGTCTATGTTCATTGTTTGGTCCATTAATGAGAAATATAATAAAATATAACAATTTGCACTAGTATTTTGATAAAAACTGTATTCATTATAATTGATAACTAGTACAGTATTATAATATATTAGGTCGTACACGTGAAAATAAGTTTGGCAAAACTTTAATAACTTTTTTGTTAAGAGTCGTGTCCAAAATCGGTAAACAGTATTATTAAGATCCATTTAATGCAGAACTTTCACACGGAACATAAATTTTTTAAAAATGTACAGTAATAGAAATAATGGACTGTTTGCAAAGGTCAT